AAGAGGAAAAATTTTAGTTTTATCTGATTTAGTTTCACAGAAGTCTTTTGCTATCTGAATATTAATAGAAGAAAAAATTAAGAGATTAAACGATTTGCAATATTGTTTTTAGTTGTAGCCCCATTTCAAACCTTTTTGTTTGTAATTTAGATGAATTAAAACCAAAAGTGTTTGTCTTACATAAGGAGTACATTACATAAGATCAACGAAAAGCAGAAATGTCAGGCAAAATGACAAACTGAGGTTTGTAAATATTTCCCTCTGTGTTTAAATTCGCTCTCTGACGTTCCTAAGATGGTCCGGTTATTAAAATGGACTTTTATGCCTGAATCAAAATAAACCATCAACCTACAAGAAAAGAAAACAAAAAACTGGCTGCTGCGCTGTCCGAGGAGCAGCATTTACCGACCCGTTTGATGTCATCCCCGTCGGTTCCACCCAAACAGCCGAGGGCTTCGGAACGCTGTCCAAAAAACTGGCCTAAGGAAAGCCGCAGGTAGCTTTCATCCGAGGACACCTGGGAGGCCCTCATCAGGACATGGCTGATGGGAGGGATCTTCCATGACGAGTCGCTTTGGAAGGTGGTGTCGTTTCCTGCTGCTGGTTCTATCACCTCCTCCTGTGTAAACAGAGGCAGGCAGAACTAAACACCAAAGCTTTAAGGTTTCAGATGGATAATGATAATCTAAGTCACCTTAAACTTAGAAGATTTAAACAGGAGTTAAGGTTTACCTGCATGAACTGATGCTCTTTCTCAAACTCCTCTTGATCCTTGATTATTTTCTCCATAGCATCACCTGCAAACAAGCAGCAGCAGTGTGTGTAAAGTGCATCATTTACTGTTGTTTTTATTGCAATAAAGTTAATATCTTTCACATACTAGCAGGTACAAAGTCCTCGTTTTGTAGTTGGCCTTCGTGCTCAGATTCTTTCCCATCAAGCTCTTTCTCAAAGTTGGAAAAATAAGCTAGGTCAGTGACCCACTTTCCCTCCTCATTCTGGTAAACAACACTTTGACTGCCACTGGCTCCTGAGGAGAGAAGCATCACTTTCACCATTTTACAGCCATTTCTAATAAAGTATCCCATCACAATCAGAGAGACTGATATTAGAAATACATCCAAGTAGGACTAAGCATTCAGGAAGTTTTTGAGTCTACCTTGCTGAAACTCCAGCTCCATGTTGTCTGGACAGTTGTTCCAACCGTCATCCAAGTCCTCCTGATCCTGGTGGAAACTCTGGGAAAAGTACTTTGCTTCCAGGGATGTGGAGAGAAGGTTTTCATCCACACTGGCACCGTCCGATGCTTCAGCAGCTGTCATCTCGCCACAGGGCCCTCCTCTGGGGCCCAACGAGTGTCTGGCCCCATCAGGCTCATCTACTGCCTCATCCTCACTGGGGTCTTGGTCAGTGTTCGGCATCTAAACATTTCATATCAAAACATTTTAAGATTTTATATTTACACAGCAAGGAATCACTAATGGAAACAGTACAGATGAAAAACATTTATGTTATAGTTAGTCTATAGTTATGCTGCTATATGTTTAGGTTGCCTTTACAATGCAGGCCTTGATGCTCAATTCCCATTTTTTTGTGTTTCCGTTCACATTTCCAAACATATGTGACCATTATGTGATCTCCTGTGTGAACTCCATTCATTCAGCTTAAGTATCCCGCATGCGCAGTAGAGGACGCAATGACGTCACAAGCCAGCATGCTCTATGCTTACGGAAGTAAACATGGATGGTAGCGTGGAAGCACATCTAGCGATCTTTCCAAACCGTAAAATCTTTTCAAGATGGTTAAAAAAAAGAAAGAATACTACATCATCCGCCATGGTGTTAGTTTTTTTTGCCACTTCTTTGTAGCAAGGGTATTAATGGCATTCAGGTTGGATGAATGCGACCTGGCCGTTCAGACACAGGTTACATTTGAAAAGATCAAATTTGAGTCAGATTCAGGCCCACAAAGCCAAGTGGCCTGGGTCGGAATGGAAAAAAAAAAATCAGATCTGTGTTGTTCAGACAGCCATGAAAATATCAGACTCAGGTCGCATATGGGCCTTGAATGGTCTCTTCAGGCTGCGGTGTGAACGTAGCCTTAGACTGTTGGAGGTCCTTCATAGGATGCATGACAGTAGAGCTAGACTCTCAAGGATTTATTCACCAGTCCAGGGTTCCTACAGCATAAGGCAAGTTCAATTCAAGACTTTTTAATGCCACTTGAAATAAAAATGTAAGACCAAATTCACAAGAAACACAAGAAAAACCTGCTTGCGACAACTTAACCCAAAGGTTTATTTTAACATAAACCAATGCACTAATGTTTCAGATTTTGAAAAACTTCTCATACATGAAGAAAGCTAAAAACACACAAATGACAGATATATTTTAACAATAATTTAACTGAATTCACAAACTTTGTTTTGCAGAGACAAGGGTGGAACAAAACCGAGAAATATCGGCTGTTTCTCTGTAACTCAATTTTGAAGCTTTGTGTTACGTGCTTCTCATGTGTGACTCCACTGCCTTAATTCCCATC